TTTTTTTTTTAAGATTAAACTAATTTCACTGACCTAGGGTGTTATTGTTAATTTGGCTCTATCTCTTTCATCAACCCACCATCATTGGTATTAGAGCATATATCAGAAAGGCAGATATATTCCGAGCTTTATAATGAGTGAAGAAAGACCACTGAAAACATTATTGGAATAATTAATTTGTAAAGCTCAGGAGTAGAGCTTGTAGGTCTGCTAGTCTAACTGATCGGTGCAGTACTGACCAGTAGAAGCTGTTGTTAAGAACCTTTTTACCACTAGACCATCAGAGCTGCCTTCTGCCCACTCAGGACCTTTTCATTGAGGGCTTGGGACTATTACTGTATTACAAAATCTGTTACTTCTTGAGTTCTATTGAGAAGTTAGTTCTTCTTAAGTTCTGTTAATATTAGCTTCATGTATTTTTAAACCCTGTTATTATGTTGTTCTAACACAATTAAAATTGACTTACCTTCTGCAGAATTGACTCATAAATCTTAATAAATGTTCCTATTCAACTCTCATTTTTTATAATCTTATATTTATATATTAAATAAAACTTTTTTTCCCCTCTTGAAATTCAGAGCATGGAAGAGAACATGACTGACGTGATATAGTTGGTAAAAAGAATCTAATGCAGTTTTCTGTGGAGTTAATTGTGCCTCTTGGTGACCCCACATGTGTTGATGGAAGACTGCTCCATAGTGACTTAAGGGCCGTGATCTTTCAGACGCAGATCACCAGTCTGTTCCTAGGCTGTGTTTAACACGCTTTCAGTTGGTAGGACAGTATTTAAATCTGCACTGCTCTGGAACTGTCCAATACTATAATGACCACACTTTATTAGAGGTTTCTACTGCTAAGTATTCTAGGTGTTAAAAGAGCCCTGGTGGAGCTCTGTCCTCTGGTTCAAGGGTTTAGCAGGTCACACTCACTCAGCAGCTTCCCCCCAGGAGGAAAGACTTTATGGTCTGCTCCTATAAAGACGACAGCCTAGAAAACCCAAAACCCTATAGGACATTGCTGCTCCATCGTGTGAGGTCATCAGCTCCACAGCACCTAACAGTAGTAATATGTGTCATTACTTATTCAGTCCTCTCGACAACCCTAATGGAATAAGTATACTTGTTTTTAAGGTGATGAAATGAAATGCAGTGAGTGCGGTAATTTGTTTGGGTTTATGGAGCTTTTATTTTAAGGGTTTGGCTAGCTCTAGAACTGATTCTAGCTCTATAACTAATATTGTGCCAACAGAGCAAGGAAACACTGCATGGCTTAAAATTAGGAAGGGATCAGGGTGGATCCTTTGTCCGTCCCTGCCTATGTAATCTGTAGGTTGAGGAAATTATTCAAGAAGCTTGACTCTGTGAAGGAAAATGTGGCATCAGGATCTGAGGAAGACTCATCAATAAACTTTGTTACGTGGACCACACAACTTAGCTTGCTGAAAGTAAGGAAGACTTGAAGCCCTTGTTGCAGAAGATCGAAGAATGCAGCCTTCAATATGGACTGCATCTCAACATCAAGAAAACAAAAATTCTCACCACTAAACTGATAGGCAACATCATGGTAGATGGAGAAAAGATTGAAACTGTCAACAGCTTCATCTTACTTGGGTCCACAATCAGTACTCTTCCCCCCACCCCCAATCAGTACTCTTAATAGCAGCAGTTGGGTGATTAGATGTACTGTACTGAGAAAGTCTTCAGTCAAGGACCTTTCCAAAGTATGTAGGAGCAGAGATATTAATTTGAGGACTAAGGTTTACCTAATTCAGGCCATATTTTCATTCATATGCTATGCTGCTGAGAGCTGGACAATTAATAAGGATGACAGAAGAATTGATGCCTTTGAGCTGTGGTGTTGGAGAAGAGCACTGAAGATCCCATGGACGGTCAAGGGAACAAAGAGATATGTCTTGGAGAAGGTGCAGACAGAGTGCTCCTTGGAGATAAAGATGATAAAGCTTCATCTGGCATACTCTGTGCATGTTTCTTTTTTTTTTGTGTGTGTGTGCATGTTTCTGGGAAAGTCTGTTCATTGTGCTTGGGAGGGTGAAGGGACAGTGAAAAAGAGGAAGTTCCTCAAGCAGGTGGATTGAAACAGGGACGGCTGCACACAGTGGGGTCTGGTGTGTTGGGAAGTGTGAGGATGGCGCCGGATAGGACAGAGATCAGATCTGATGTTCATTAGAGTCACTGTCAGTTGTATTTGACTCACTGGCACTTAACTACAACAAAATTAATTCTCATAATTAGCAATAGAGAGTTTTGAGTTCTCTTGTTAGAGCTACTATGTTATTTTATATCTAGATATATAGATATATTAATATAGATATTTTCACATAGACATATATATTCAGTTCTTTTCCCTATTACCCTCACTGTCATGTCTGGCCAAGTTAAAAAAAAAAAGAAAAGATGATGCTCCAACCTCCTCAAGGCCTTAGTTATTTGAAACCATTCATGTTCTCACCAGATCCCCGGAGAGCATGATATTCCATCTTCCTCTCATCAGATCTTTTCTGCACATGTTGATTTGAAGGATGCTTGGTAAATAGCCTTTTGCGTAGAACTGGTTTTTTTTTTCTTCCCAAGAATAAATAAATGGTAGCGTGAGAAACACTAAAAAAAAACCCTCCAGCAAGTGTGACTCTTGAAACTTAATGCTTATGTTTTGCATTTCCTCTATTTTAAACAAGGTCTTTTTTACACAATGCACATTTAAAAATATTTTTGTTGTTGTTGTTGTTATGAGAAAAATATTTTTAATAGAACTTAAATATGGGGTTGTTGTTGTTGTTGTTGTTATGTGCCGTCGAGCCGCTTGTAACTCATAGCGACCCTGTGTACAGCAGCCCTAAA